TACAAACAGTCCTTCTCTCACATTTAGTATCTTTTTTCATTGATCTATGATCATAATTTTTGTACTCACTGTGACAATATTTATTTTAATCACAATTTATGTTTTATTTGTGGTTATAATCAGGATTAATTTCTGCTACATTCATAGAATTGCATAGCATTTTATTAAGATGTCTTTTGCAAAGGTGGAGCTTATTTGGATGATCTGAGAAGAAGAACCTAGTCAGGACCAGGAGGATAAGCCAGCTGCTTTTCAGAGGGCTGCAAAGGAGCAAGATGCTATTACAACTGTTCTGAATTAGCCATACAATTTGCATCTGGACAAATGATTGAGAACTATGAAAATACTCTCTCCTCTCATAGTTTGTTTTAAAACATGTTTTTAAAAACTCTGCTGGGAAGGAGAGAGAGAAAAGAGACAAAGAGGCATAGAGGCAAAGATAAAGAGGCAAAATAAACTATACATAGATGTCCTAAGTTATTAATATACTACATTCATTGGAAGGTAATCAACCATATGAAATCAACATTAATGTAAGAACAGATGATAATTAATGAACGTTTTGTCTTCCTTTGTCCTAGAAAATGATAGTGTGTCTTCCAATCTGTTTGTTATTAGAAATTTCTTCTTTTTTGTGTATGTGTTACTTTATATAGCACCCTTAGAGATGCTTGTTTTAATTTCTTGTTCCCCAGAATTAATATAAATGAATGGCTGGAAGGATAGATTAGAGCTATCAGTTCACCAATCAGCACAGCTAATTCAGTCTCTGGCATGAAGTAACTGGAGGTGGCTATGAGAAAGGACAAATAGTAGGCAATGAAAAGTAGGAGGAAGGAGATGACAGCTTTCATGGCTACCATGTGGGCATCTGTGCTGGGGTCTCTGCACCCTGTGGCATTGAGCTGCATCCGCCTGATGTGTCTCCATAGGGAGAGGATCAAGAGGAGGAATGAGATGAGGGACACAGAGAAGGGGAACAGCGTGAACAGGTTGAGATATACCTTGCTGGAAGCATATTGAGCTTTATTTACCCTGCATCTCAAAGTTAAGTTTGTTTTCCACTTCGCCCTGACACAAAGCCTGAAGTCATCATTCAAATCCTCAGCAGCAGGAAGGCTAATGAACACAGCGAAGGCCACGCACACCAGCAGGATCCCAGGAATCACCCTTTCAATTCTCCATTTCATCCAGAGGAAAAGGGGATGGAAGAAGTTAGCTATCTTGAAGAAATAGAAAATGCTGAGGCAGGTGGCAAACCA